GAGACACCACCAACGCGCCGACGCCTTCGTGTTGGCACAGCGCGACGTCGACGGCCCATCCGGGGCTGCGGACATCGTCGTCTTCCAGCGATACGCGAAGACGCCCAGCGGTCGTGCCGTTCCTCCTTGAACTCAACCACTCCTCTTCGCCATCGCCGAGCAGCCCGACCAGTTACGATACGCACGGAGATGGTAGCGAACCCAAGTCCGAGAGCGGAGACGACGAGAAGGGTCGATACGATGACGACGCCGTCGGCGGGGAGGCGGATGACGAAGACGGGGACTGGGGCGACAAGGCGTTCCTGTGGAATCTGCTGAAGAAGGTGGAGAACGTCGACCGCTACGTGCTATCGATACAGATGCTGCACCAAGTCATCAGCTTCCGCCAGCGCGAGGATCCCGACGCCGACATAACGCCCCTGATGACCTATCTCCGCAAGCTCTTGGGCCGTATGGGCCACCAACTCAAGAGTCTGAGTGCGTGACATCACACGACACACACACACACCACACACACGACACACACGACACACACCGTAACAGCAAACGTACACCATTTACGTCCGCGCGTCAGTGGTTCCGCATACTCAACTGTGTGTTTGCCTTCTCTGCAGAGCCTCTGGGCAGCGCGTTCAACACGTCCGTGGTACTTTCGTGGTATGGCGTCACTGCGCTTCACTACCTCTTTAGCTCGCGACAGCAGGTACCGCTTGACAAGAACACACACACACGCACACACGCACGCAGCGCGCACACACCCACCCACGGATGAACCTTGAATAACTTGCTGCAAAACCTGTGCAGGAAGCGTTGCTGACGGCCATCAAATATCTGGAGCAAGCCGAGCGCGAGCATTCGGCCTACTGCGCGTCCTCCACCGTGATAATCCACCAGATGGTACCGCACTCGCTGATTCCCCCTCCTTTTTTTTTCTTGCTCCTTCGCACCCACTTTAGACGTTGCTGCTCAACTTTGTTGACTGACCATTGGCGCGCTTGATCATGATGTGAAAATATATGGTTTATATATTTCCGGTTAAAAATAAACAGGTAATGGATGTCTTCATCATGTTCCGCCGATACGACCTCGTACGACGGCTCCTGGTTGTGGCCGAGCCCTTTGTAAAGATCCATCCTCTCGCACAAGACATTAGTACGTGTGCCGCTCGCTTGTGTTGCTGGTCGCTGGCTTGGTCACACCCGTGTGTCGCGTGTCGCGTGTCGCGTGTCGTGTGTCGTGTGTCGTGTTGTGTGTGGTGAGTTGTTGTCGTGCTGACCTCACCACTTCTTTTATTGACTGGCAGCCCGAGGCTACTGGGACGCCGTGAACAGACACGATTGCTTGTCTTGATACCTGGCGGCGTGGCCAGGGCGAAGTGGCCAAGTGTGAATAAAAGTTGTAGTTATTTGGCAAATATTATATTTAGTGGCCGATTTTACCGGAAAGGGAATAATAAATAAATAAATAAATGATGGGTGCGGGATTAGAGGACCGCGACGCCCTCAGCCGCCTTGTTGAAGCCCGACTTGTAGTCACCGTTCATGAGGAACAACTGCTGGAAGTGCGTTTGGCTGATGATGTGCGCACACGACACGCGGAGGCGTGGGGTGAGTAGTGGACACGACACACACGACACGACGCGCGTGTCAGCGCACAAAGTAGATGTGACCGTCTGGTACCAGTAGAAGATGCCGTCGAGATGCGCGTAGTCGATGACCTTGAGCACACACTTGCACACGCTGCACTTGAAGCAGTTCTTGTGGAACACCTTGCCTGTGTGTGTCGTGTGTCGTGAGTGTTCGGCAAATCAGGCGAAAACGCGTGAGTACCGCACGACACGAGACGCGACGAGTGTGGAAGGTACGTACCGCTTGCGACGGCTCGTTCGAGCGGGTAGGCGGTCTTGCCGCACGCCACGCACTTCTCGTTGTTGCTCAGCACCGGCTCGCTTTGCGATTGCCCCGCCGCCACCTAATCGACACCACCCACACGCACACACAAGTCGTCTATAAGAACACTGTGCGGCGAGGCATTGCGCCAACACACAGTGCAGGTGGTCGAGCGCGTACCGGGACCTTGCGGCGAGGGGAGGGCTCGATGGGCGTGTCCTCGATCTCGTCCTTGAGCAGAGTGATCTCGACATCGTCGTGCACCGCCTGAAGCAGCATGTCGCCCTCATACGCCACCACACCCCTGACCACGCCCGCGCACAACACAACACAACACAACACAAGGCCACGACACGACACGACACGACACGCACGCGCACGGTCAGGGCGTGGGTGCGGTGAAGCCGGGCGAGGCGCGGAGGCGCGGACCTCTTCTTGGCGGTGGCGATGGCGGCGGCGAGGGCGGGCATGGTGTCGATGGTGGCGGCGAAGAGGGCGCCGAAGGTGATGACGGGCCTGCCGGTGTCGCCCTTGGCCTCGCCGCGCTTCTGGATCTCGGCGATGAGGAATCGGATCTGGGTGTCCATCCACTGCACGCCCTTCACCACCCGATCGTCCATCTGCTCCGACAACTGCTCGCCCGGCACCACAACACAATCATCAGCTCATGCACACACAACGCAACACGCACGACGACACGCACGTTTTGGGTCTTGGCGCTGAGGCTGGCGTCCATGGCCTGCTGCCATCGCGACGCGACGCCGCCCTTGGCGCCCACAGCACCGGTCATGGCGCGCCGTCTGACACAGTCACAGCCGCCAAAGCCCTTCAGTCAACGAGAGACACTCGTCAGGCCAGGCAAGGCGGAGGTCGTACCGCTCGGGCGCCGAGGCGGGCACGGCGGCCGGCGCTTCGCTGGCGAAAACCATCGGCACCGCGACCGTCTTCTTTGTGCTGCTCGCTCCTGGGTGTGTCGTCAGCAGAGACAAGCGCGCGCCAGCCGCGGCTCACCGGTGACGTACCGGCAAAGGTCTTGCGCTTGTCGCGCGAGCTGCCGCTGCCGCCGGTCGCGACGGGAGCCTTGTGGTGCAGGGCGTTGACCTGTCCCTCCTCCTCCTTGCAGCTCCTCTCCATCGCCTCCTGCTCCTGCTCTTCCTGCTTCTGCTGAGTGTCGGCATGGCCGGCGGCGGCGGCGGCCACTTCCTCGACGGCGCCGGTGGCGGCGGCGGCCACGGCAGCGACGGCCTCGGTCACGTCGGGCACGTGGGCCTGGGCGGCGGCTGCGGCGACGGCTGCGGCTGTGGCCTCGGCCCGGCGACGCTCGGCTTCAACGGCTGCCGCATTGGCCGCGGCCGCGGCGGCCTCGGCCTCGGCTTCGTCGGCGCGTCGGCGCTCGGCCTCTCTCTGCTCGAGCTCGCGCTGTCGCTGTAGCTCGGCCTCGTCCGCCTCCCGCCGCAGTCGCTCCGCCTCGGCCTGCGCCTTGGCCAGCCGCCGCTGCCTCTCCTCCTCCAGCGCCTGCTGCTGCTGCTCGTGCTGCCGCCGCCGCTCGGCCTCGGCCTCGGCCTCGGCATTCTCGGCACTCTCGCCATTCTCGTCATTGTTGGTGTCGACAACAACGACCGAGAATTCGGCCGAGGCGCCGGCGTCAGTGACGGCAACGGCGGTCTGGGAGCTGCTGCTGCTCAGGCCCAGCACCTCCTGCTCGACCCGCCGCAGCTCCTCCAGCGCTGCAAACACATCGTCCTGCTGCGTTCGGAGCGCCTCCAGACCGGTCGTCTGCTGCTGCTGCTGCTGCTCGACCTGTTGCTGTTGCTGTTGTTGGAGCTTCTGCTGCTGTTGGAGCTGTCGCTCGCGGTGCTGGTCCTCCTGTTGCTGGCGCAGCTGACGCTCGCGGGCCTCCATGGCCTCCTTCTCGGCGGCCCGCCGCCGCTCCTCCTCTTCGGCCCTCTCCCTCTCGGCCTCCCGCCGCAGCCGCGCGGCCTCAGCGGCCTCGGCTTGGGCTTCGGCGGCTGCAGCGACGGCGTTTCTGTCGACATCGGCGTCAGTGACGGCGACGGCGATGGCGGGCTCAGCTTCGTCCTCCTTGGCCTTGCCCTTGCCCTCTTCGGCCTCGGCGTCGTTTTCGTTCTTTTGTGATTGGTCTTCCGCGGAAGCGTCGCTTTCGTTCTTTGGCTTCGCGTTACCGTCGTCTTCGTTCTTTGCTGTCGCCGCGGGAGACGAGACCACCGTCGCCTTGTTTTCGTCTTCTTCGTTCTTCTTCTTCTTTTTCTCGTCGTCGTTTTCTTTGTTGCTCGTCTTCTGCCACTTGCTGATCGCCGCCGGCGTGAACGTCGCGCTGCGCGCCTTGGCCGCCGCCGCCGACTCCGCCTCACCACCAGCCGCCGCCGCCGTGGTGCTCGCGCTCGACGGCAGCGTCACCTCGTGGCTCTGGTTGAGCTTGGCGGCCGCCGCCTCGGTCTGTCGTCGGTTCTTTTTGTTGTTTTTGTCGACATTGTTGTTGGGTCTGATCTTGCTCTGGCTCCGCTTCTCCTCCTTCTCGATGCGCTTGAGCTCCTTCTTCTCCTCCTTCTCGCGCCTCTTCTGGAGCTTGAGCTCCTCCTTCTCCTTCCGCTTCTGCTCCTTGATTCGCTTCTTCTCCTCCTTCTCCTTCTCCTTCTGCTCCTTCTTCTCCCGCTTCTCCCTCTCCTTCCGCTCTCGCTTGCCCTCGACCGACGACGCCACACTTTCCATTCTTTTTTTCTTTTTTTTCCCTTTTAATCGCCTGTTATAAAAAATCGCAGATTTTGGTAATAAATCGCGATTTCAAAAATCCCAATCCCGACCTTGAGGATGAAAGATGAGAGCTTAGAGATGAGGACCGTAGAACGAAACGGGGCGGGTTTTGTTGAAGATGTAGGTACCTTGGTTGTTGTGGGTTAGTGCGTCTTCTTCGGAGGGGAGCGGAACGCGACGATACAGCGAAGGCGAAGGCGAAGGAGGTGAAGGTGCGTCGGTGAAGTGGAGTGCAGAAAACTGGAATGGAGAGCTGTGCGTGCGGCGAAGTTCGGTTTGGCGCGCGACAGCAACGGAAACGGCCCTCAACGAGAAGCAATACTTCGTCGACGTCCACCACCACTGGTTCGCGTTTGTCAAACTTGAAGAGAACCGACAGGGCAATACTCGTTGTCTGTCTGCCCACGGTCGAGCAAACGGAGTGGAAAACACGAAAGATAATTCTTTCATTACATACACTGTCATGTCTAACATTCTTATCTGGCCAGAGATTCCTTTTATAAAACGGAACTAAAGAGCTGATTGGTGAAAGACAAAGTGTTGGCGGTCAATGGGCACATCGTCCCACGAACTCCGCGATAGCAGACAAGGCCTAACTAGCTTAGACCAGGATGTGCCACGCGCGGGGGCCTCTTCTCACAGGCCTCGCTTTGGTGGTCGGTACGCACTGCGCTCAGTGCCTGCCACCCACTACCTCCTCTTTTTTATTAATTGTTTTATTTATTTATTTGTCTGTAGTTGCGCTCAGCGCCGTGCGTGCCAATGACATTCTGTTCCACGACGACTTCGAGGGCCAGCCCTCGTTCCCCAATAGCCACTGGCAAATCGGCCACTTCCTCAACAAGTGCGTTGATCTCTTGTTGTTGCCCTCCCCTTTCTCCTTGATCACAACTCCCTTTACACTCATGTTATTATTTAATGATAAAAAAACAGTCGCACCAATGGCGTGGTCGTACCAGACCCGGACAACCCGACCAACATGGTGCTGTCGTTCAACAACACCGTCCCCTTCACCGGCGGCGGCGACCTCTTCACCCAAGGCCTCTTCACAACCCCCACGGGAAGGTTCAAGGTGAGCTTAGATTTCAAGGGCACGCCCGGGTGCATTACCTACATCGGGTGGTACTTCCCTCCGCTGCCGCCCTCGAGCGACCCTCAAGTACATTGGTCGTCGTCTTCTGCCGCCATTCCCGTGTGACGTGGCGTGGCGTGACGTGAACGTTGTGACTCCCTCCTCACGTGTGGCGACGACGTCCAGTTGCTGGTCGGGCGGCACGGGTGGATGGGCGCATCCAGGACTGAATACTGCGCTCGCCTTCCCGTACGTCGCGTGCAGTCACGCTGTTGGCCTCTTTGGGTGGAAAGTGTTGTGTATCGTGTCGTGTGTGTCGTGTGTGTCGTGTGTGTCGTGTGTGTCGTGCGTGTCGTGTGACAAGTGTTTTCCCCCACATCAGCTGGACACTCTGGAGCCGAGGCTTCAGACCTGCGACCAGAGTATGACAGGCCTGCCCAACGGTGACTGGACCCACTACGAGATCGAACCGGCCCTCGCCTGCCTCATCAACTTCCCACGCAACGAGACCGGTACACGCGGCCGATTCTCTCTTTCCTTCGCTTTCGTTCCCCCCCCCCGTTCGTGGCATGAGTTGACCGAGTTGCGCTCACCGGACGCGAGCAGCGATCGCGCAGGGCTTCGGGGTGATGGTGGAAGACACGGGCAGTACGCCCTTCAGCTGCTTCTACGACAACATCACCCTCACAGCCATCGTGCCCACCTCGTCGTACGCAGCTAACACATCTCTGTTTTTTTGGGTGTGAGCGTGGGTTGAGCTCACCACGTTCGGATCACGACAGCGCGGCAACGGTGGGCACCGACTCGATCAAGGTCAACTTCACCCTCGACTCTCCGTCCTTCGTCATGAAGCCTGCTCTGGGTATGTCCTCCTCCCTTCTTTTCTTCTGCTATTTGTTGTGTTCACACAATCATTGTGACTGCAACCACACCACCACCACCAACAACGCACAGAGACGATCACCACATCGGTCACGGCTGACTTTGTGCGGGCGGTGGAGCTAAGTCCCAACAACAGCACCAACTCGAGCGTCGTCGTCAGCCGCGACTTTCCCACGACCGGCTATGCCGTCGCTTCCTCAGGCCCCGTATGTCTCACCGCCGTGTGCGCCGTGTGCGCGTGCCATCGCGCGTTGTCGTGTGCGCGTGCCATCGCGCGTTGTCGTGTGCGCGCCTTACAAACATGTGCTGCTCGGGCAGGAGGTAACTTTCACGAATACGCTGCCGCTGTACGGCGCCAAGAACGCGACGTTCGAGGTGGTGTACACCCTGTTCAGCGGCGGCGAGCAGGTGGACACCGGCGCGGCCGTGTTCACCGCCGCCAAGGACTCGCTCGAGTGGGCCATCCAGATCCGCGACTGGCCCTTCGCCGCCCCCGACAACTTGCTCCTGGTCGAGTTCGGCCTGGGCCACTTCTCCTCCCGCGGTGCTGACGTCAGCGTGGGCACCTACAGGCTCGAGAGCGCGACCCATCGCGCCGACGAGAAGCTCGACGAGTACGTGCTGCGGCTGCTCGACGCCCGGGGCCAGCCCGGCGCGGGGCTCAAGCTCATCGTACCGCTCGTGGCCTTCATCGATGGCGCGGCCCAGCCGACCGACATCGAGCGGCCCGTGCTGACCACGGCCGCCGCGTTCGCCCAATTCTTGGGCTCTTCAGCCGACGGTGGCGTGAGCGATCTGGTGGGTCTGGCCGCGGCGGTGGGCGGGCTGGTGGATCGACTGGTCTTCCGCTTCCCGCTCTTCAATGCCACGCTCGACTACGACCCCAACCTCGGGCTCCTGCTCAATGGTACGCACCACCGCACACACACGTCGCACACGCGCTCATCGAACGAACGAACGTGTAGGGAAAGCGGAGAGTGACGATGGCGGGAGTGACAACACGGTGCTGATCGTGCTGACGACGGTGCTGATCTCATGCGCGGCGTTGGCCGTGCTGGCCGCTCTCGTGGCGGTCTACGTGATTTATCGGAGGCGAGCGAGCGGCGGACCCGTCAACGAGGAGCTCGTCGTGCAGCTCGACGCCGCCGACGAATTCGACGGACGGGTCCTCTGAGCCATTTCAGAAGAAAATCAAAATGTACACTCATAAATGAATAAAATAAATGTGAGAGTTCGCGCTGGTAGCGATTCTGTCGTTGAGCAGGAAAAAAACAAACACCATAGTCGAACACCCACATCAATCGTCGAGCAGGGTACCGCTGGTGTACTTGTCAATGATCTCACGCACGAACGCCTGTAAAGTCACGCGCAATAAATAAGTGGCACAATACGGAAAAGAACGAAAAGCGAAAAAGAAAAATGAAAGCGATAGCGAAAAGCGAAGAATGGAGACGTGCCTGGATGCCGAGCACGAGCATGGCAATGCCGAAGAGGAAGATGAGGGAGCAGATGACGAGCTCAGCCAGGAGGCCCCAGGTCTTCTTCTTGAAGCGCATCAGCTTGCCCAGCTTGATCTTGCCCCAGTGGCCCTTGCTGTACTTGAGCTTGATGTAGATCGAGGGCGGAAGCAGGAAGCCCAGCAGGTTGCTCCCGAACACGCCCGTGAGGCCCGTCATGACCGAGAAGAAGGGGATCGCGAGCGCCACGGCCGCTGTCACCATGACCATGATGAACCGGAGCAGGTTGCGCTGCATCTCGACGTTGCGCGACTTGCCGAAGAGCGTGCGGTCGAGCAGCGCGAACTCGAGGATCTCGGAGGTCGGGAAGAGGAAGAGCGCGGCCGTGAACAGAAGGTCGAGCGACAGGAAGATGCGCACCAGGATCTCCATCACTCCCGGATGCAGGTTGTCGATCACCTGCGTGTGGCCGCGCCAGCGTGAGACTCACTGTCAGGGTGTGCGGTGTGTGTCGTGTGTGTGTCGTGTGTGTGTCGTGTGTGTGTCGTGTGTGTGTCGTGTTAGTGTGTTAACGAACGTTCTGTTTGGTGTCTTCGCCGTAGAAGAGGTAGGCGGTGACGGCGAAGGCGACGTTGAGGATGGTCACGAAGACAATGCTCGTTCCGACCACCACCGGGAACCTGGACTTGTTCGCCTGTGTACCGTGCAGTGCACGCACGACGCACTTCAGCACAACACGCACAGCCGCCCCACCACAATAATTGAAAGCGAAGCGAAAGTCATGGCTTAGGTACGTACCATGGACTGCTCGGTGGGCAGCACAACAGAGTGGATGAGATACAGAAACGCGGCATTGCCCAGGAAGAGCGGGTAGGACCTGTCATAGGATCACACAACGTTGAGGCAAGTCACATGTTTTCGTGAGTGCGCGTGTTGTTGGTCGTGTCGTGTCATAATAATGCAAAGGTCGTACGTGATCTGAACGGCGGGGTAATCATTGAAGGACTTGGCCTCGTGGTACATTCCGATATCGATCCACGTCGCCACCAACGAGAACAAGAGTGCACAAATTCCTGGAAAGACAAGCCAGCACACACCACGTTGTGACCGACACGACACGCGAACCACCGCACGCATAGACACGCGCACGCGCGTCAGCGTTGTAAAGTGTGGTGACCGAGAGGGGCATGCGGGAGTGGAAGTACCGAGGATAGAGGTGGGGGCGAGGACCTTGTAGCTTCGCAGCCACGACAGCATGATGACCGGCGGAATTACAAACAAGGTACACACTGCACTGCACAGAGATATCCAAACTCGTTTAATATAATAAAATAATGGAATAATATTAAATTTTAATATAAATGAGTAAAGAATAATAAAGAAGAAATTGAAGCGAATATCAGGTACCTGTATTCGAACACGGCGGTGTAGCCACCAAGCAGCTTTTGTATGGACGAACCGATGAAGATCAGATAGCTTCCACATGCTGCACAGAGAATGTTTTCAATGTTAGTCACACGCACCACCGCACACGCACCACGGCACCACCGCACACGCATACAATACACACACAACGCATGAGTTGTTCAAGTAGTAGTAGTGGTCTAGACTTGCTTACCTCCGATCGTCGACGCAATGATGCCCGTCCACGCCAAAATAACTCCAGTCTTGCCAAACGCCTCACGACCTTTGGGAGCAAAGTGACGTTGGTCGGAGTTAAAAAGTAGTAGTGGAAAAAACGGAGCAGAGAAGGAGCGGCGTCGGCGGCAGCGGTGGCAGCGCACCGATGTCCGGGTAGGTGGGATAGGACTTGGATGCGAGGTGGCCACACTTGGCCAGGATGACCAGCGTGAACTGCGAGATGATGCCCAAAAACACCAGTCCCACCGAGCCACCAATCAAACCTGAATGGAGTGCGCGAACCGTGCGGTGCGTAAGTGGTCCAGAGGGATGCGGTGCGTGTGCGTGTGCGGTCTGCGTGCGTGCGTGCGTGCGTGCGTGCGTGCGTGCGTGCGTGCGTGCGTGCGTGTGCGGCACCTCCTTGCTTGACAGCCCAGGGAAGCTCGAAGGAGGCCGCGCCGATGAAGCACTTGGTGATGTTGAAGAATGTCCTCAACGAGCTGCACATTCAATAAGTCAACGTCAGTCGCGTGTGGCGTGGGGTGTGAGTGTGCAAAGGCTGGAGTGTGGGTGGGTGGGTACGGGGACGCACCTGGCCTGCACGAGGGCCTTGGGGTCTTCCGCTTCGAAAAGCTCGTTGGAGCTCACGCCATCCTCGCCCGCATAGCGCGACCCAATATCCCGCGCCTCCTGGTTTATCGACGCGTAGTCCGACACTGCCGGGCGGTCGGCGTTAAAAGGGAGTAACAATAAAGAACGAACGAAATGATAAATAACTCAATAAATTGAAATTGGGTTGAAGTAGAAATAAATATTGAATAGGGAAGACGTGAAAAAACAAATATTCGAATATTATTTGGATAGAGCGCATTAAAAAAAATTGAAAATAATTATTAAAAAAGAGAAGAATGATGAAGAGAGGAAGTACCTTTGATTGTGTGTCGCTGGTTGGTGCCCACCACGTCTGCGCTCCCGTATCGATTGTCCATCGGGACTCGTGTTTCGGTTCCGTTTTGGGCTTTTGAACGAAAATGAAAAAACAAGATGGGGCACACGACAGTACTCCCTTACCGTGCGTGCGGTGCCTTCGTTGCTCTGCTCCTTGCGCTCCTTGTGCCGGAGGTGCGTCGCAAGCCGTAGGTAAAAGTCCGAAGAAGAAGACGTGCAGATACAGGCCGCGTCGACCGAAATGACGAATCACAACCAACCGACTGCTCCCACAACGCACAGCCCTCAACTACAGCAGTGAGGGACCTGAGCGTGGTCGTCGCCGATGGCCACTACGGCAGCTCGACCACACCAGCACGTTGTCGACAAATGCGTTGGCGGTGTGCTGTTGCCCCTTCTCTCTTTTTTCCTTGTTTGACGTTGTTCAAGGAAGATGAAGAGAGATCTACTTCAGCTGAAATAGACGGCGTCGGGCCGCTCGGGTCTGTCCCTGTTTTGTTTGCCGCCATCATGGCCTCGCCCCCACAGAGGCAGCGCTTGGGAGCGTGCGGCCACTGCCGCGCGCTGACTCACATCTCGCCACAGACCGGCCTGTGCCACCAATGCATCGTCCAGTTCAAGCATCTTCGGCGCCGCCAACGAGATGATGAGAGGCTGCTCGCGTTCGGTCTCGAAAATGGACTGGAGGGACCCTACGAGCTTTCCACAACGCCGGTGGTCAGCAGCCCGTTGAGGAAGACTGCTGCACCACTCTTCGTCCTTTGCGTGGCCTACCTGAGCAACAATGTGGACCTGATCGAGCAGGAGGCCATCCACTACTTGCCCAGCGAGGTTCGCTACTTCCTCTTCCTCCTTGAGCTCAGCCACAAGCGCTTTGCGCCTCCATCTTCTTCGAAATCGAGTAGCGGATCTTCATCTTCATCAGCTGCTCCTCGCCTTCGCCTCGCCAAGCGATTCCTCTCATCCACCAACGTCATCTCTCCATTCCATTCCTCTTCATCTTCATTCGAAGCGTTTGATTTCAGCGCCCTCAAGAGCCTCACCTGTCTCAACCCGAGTCAAGTCGAGAACGTCTTCGACTACCTGACCTCGTTCGGGCGATCATCCATCGAGGGCCTTCGCATCCTCTCGCTCAAGGGCCTCCCATTCATCAACGACGCGGCCCTCAAGACCGTCGCCGCCCAGATGCGACTGCTGCGCGTACTCGACGTCTCCTTCTGCGACAACATCACCGACGAGGGCATCGCCGCCCTCCTGCCTCGGTTCAAGCCGGCCCAGACGCGCGACAGCTGGGAGGAGCTCGAGGACGGCGACAGCGGCAGCAGCGAAGACTCCTCCGATGAGTCATCCCTCCTTTGCGGCCTCCTCCATCTGTACGCTTGCTATGTCGTGTGCGGTGTGCGGTGGTGCGTGTGCGTCACACGTTGCACACTAACGCAACACGCACACGACGGCACACGACAGGCGACGGCTCGGGATCTACGGGTGCAGCCAGCTGACGCGAGCCAATCTGAAGGCCCTGCGGATAGCCTTCATGGGCCGACCCGCGCTCACTGTCTACACGTCGATGCTCCTCGTGCGCGGCGTCGATGACGACGACAGCCACGCCTACGCCTACGACGACCGCGCGGTGGTCCTCCTGGCCGCCGCGGCGGCCCATAAGCCCGCCCTGTGGGAAGTCACCGCAGCCGCAGCCGTCGACAGCTCGCGCGCCGACCGCGAGTGGAGCGCCGACGAAGAGGCTGAACCAAGCCAAGAGAAGCCCAAGACTCGACAAGAAGACGAAGAATACGTCGGCGTCGATCGTCGACACCCGGCGGAGGGGTCGCTGAAGGTAGTCACGTTCGTCAACGACACGCTCCAGTGGAACGTGGCCGAGGAGGAGGCCGTCTACGCGCTACACGGCTATCAGATCGAGGAGATCGAGGAGCTGAGGGGCCGGTACTACGCACCCGACCAGAATGAAGACGGCTACATTGGGATCGGTCGTGGTGGTCGGCAGCGAGCGCAGCCCGCGAAGAAGGCGCGGCCGTCGCTGTACGTCCCCCACGACGAGCAGCTGCAGGCCCTGGACGCGTTCCGAAGCACCAGGCGAGCAGAGTACTCTGGGAGCTCACGCAAGGGATACCTCTAGTGCCACCGCCACGAC